CTATCCAAATTCTTTACCAAAATAGACATTTGTGGCCATACTATTGATCATGAAACCATGAGAATATTAAGCAAAAAGACCCATGGTGGGGGGGGGGGGCAAATGAAGAGTGATTATGGAAAAGTCAGTTCTTCGGTGACTCAAAGTGAATTTTAACCAACAAAACTAATATTTATTGTGCATAATATACATCAGTCTAGTCAACTTAAGGGGTGTTAAAATATTAAAAATGTTTTCATTTTAAAAAACAGTCATTTTGGGGAAGATGATGTATATTCATTTAAAACAATTCAAGAATCAATAAATGCACAAAATCAATAGCTAAGCCACATACTATGGACTACAGTTGTCACTGGAGCTCAGAAGTACGTAGCTGAATGGCCGTGGCTGCAGAAACCATTTAGAATCCCGCCAGGTCTTGGCAAGGTGAGTACGAATACAGGAAGGGGCAGTGGGCCCAGGGAGGCAGACTCGCTGAGGACAGAGAATGTCCAGTAATCATTCAGCTTCTCATTTCTCACACCCAGCACGCTGGCATGTCATAGAGGTGGGACCTGATACATATTATATTCAAAACCAAAACCAAACCCACTTTTCTCCTGATTCTAAAAATATACGTAACACTGTAGAACAATTGCAAAACACGAAAGGGCACACATAAAGCTGTTACTAGAGAACCCATGAATGGACATTGTCATCTGTGGTATGCAGTTTTGTGTGGCTATGTATCCGAGTTTGAGAGCTTTCAAAACAAACTCAACTATGGATATTGCTTCAAGGAACATCTAGATAAAGCAATCCAGTTATTACCCAAAGAACCCTTGTTGTATTATCTCAATGCAAGACACTGTTATGCTGTCTCAAAACTGAGCTGGATTGAGAAAAAGATGGCTGCTACTCTGGAAAAATACCATCCTCAACTGTACAAGCAGCTTTGCAAAATTTCCTTAAGGTTGAAGATCTACACCCTGGTTTTTCTAAATCCAATTACATGTTCCTTTCCAAGTGTTCCAGGGATCTTAAGCAAACAGATGATGCCACGAGGTTCTACAATTTGGCGGGGCAGCTTCCTTGTCTTACCAGAGAGGATAAAGATGCAGAGAAAGAGGTGGAAAAAAAAAAGCAATACCTTGAAGAAGTAAAAGAACTTAGTCTTCAACAAATCAGATGTGGTCTACTAAATATTAAACTTACCAAAGTTTTTTAAAATGTAAGTGTAATATGCTCAGAGTTGAAGGTAAAGCCACATTCCTGTAGAATGCATTCACTAGTAGCACGACAACACCGATCGTGTTATTTGGAGAGGTCAGTTTCTCATAATGTCAGCATAAAATGATCTTAAAAATGTATGCTTTATATTTTTCCTGACAATAAACTATAGTCTTCAGGAAAGAAAAAAAAAGAGAGGAAGTCTCAGGGGTAAGCCAGGATTCTGGTTAAACTGAACCTGATGAGATTCTTGCTAAGGGCAGGCCATGTGACCTGGCAGTACCTGGCCGTTGGTCGGGGATGAAGAATTTTGGTCAGAAATCAAGGGTGGGAGATTCTGGATAAACTGACTTAGCAGGATTCTTGCCAAACCTGGGCTCCTAGAGAGCATGCCCAAGGAAGGGGCTTAGTGGGCTCAGGGGAGCCTGAATAAAGTTTGGTCAAAGAGAGAGTCTTAGTCAGTGGCTCTGACAAAATACAAATACAAGAGTGGAAAGGCCTGCAGTATGCGTCAGATTGAGCTGAGGTTCTTGAAAATGTTCATACCAAATGGAGGGATTTTCCAGATTCATTTACAGCAACAGGAGGTAGAAAGGAAACAACACCACCCCGATTCAATTTGACTTCCTCTCTTCTCTACCAAAGACACGACTGGGAGAAATTAAAGTTTAGATACAGAGTGGGTGGTAGAGGTGTATTTAACAGGCCCAGGGTAGGGTGAGCCAGGGTGCCTGAAATTTGATGGTGCCTGATGCCTGGAAATGACTTGCACAGTTTTCAGGCAGGCCTCAAAAACCCTCACATTGATGCTAATTGCCTGAAAAATCCTGCCCTTGATTATTACCCAATGACTTAGGAAACATTGGAACAGAGAGTTCCATGTGCTCACTGAGAGTCGATCAGGACCAAGTACCATAAACCCATCTCCCACCCACCAGGGGTGTCTTGGATGGAGTGCATGGTCACTGCAGCAGGACATTTGATAAAGATCCCAGGAGATGCATGCAAAAAAAGTGGGGGAATTGCAGTCTAGAGAACACTGTAATTGCAATACTGTATGCTCAAGGTCAAACAGGAAATTAACAAAGGTCCTCACGTCTATATCCTGTGCTGGTTCCACTCACCACCTGCCTCCTTCCTGCATCTACTTGTTGAAATCTTTCAAACTCTGACTCAAATCCCACCTCTTTTTAAGGAGCCTTGTTGGCTCCCCCAAGTGGAAGCTCGGTCGCTCTTTCCCCATAGCTACATCATAGCAAGTTTTGAACATTTATCATAGTACTTATCAGTCTTCTTCGATTTAGAGTCCATCGTCCATGCTTCTGTCTTCACTCTGTTTGTCTGAAGAGCAAGGAGATAAGTTATTCACTTTAGGATCCCACTTAGCACATGCATGGGGCTTTATATACATTAGGCCACCATACAATGATCATTGACTTGGTTATTAAGTCTGTGTCATGTGGACTATTTACCTTAGAAGAGAGAAGCTTTAGGGAGAATGGAACTGACTCTCACGGGGAGGAAGGATTAGATTTGACTACTCAGCTCCAGAGAACAGAATGAGGATGAAAGGAGATAGAAGTCACCAGGGGATGGATTTGATCTTCCTGTGTGGAGAAGTCTCCACTGTGACAGTCACTTAATAAGGAGATGGATGCCTCATGAGAAGTCAGTTCCACCAGTACAGGTGAGGCTACAGAGTCGGATACATCCCTGAGATGCCCTGTTTGCTACCTGTGTTTCAGCATCAATAAAGATCTTGATGCCATTTTGAGGTCCACATGCAATCACAGACGTGGCATATGCCTGGGACGCCTGGTGCACCAACGGGCTGGAGACGGCCCTGCACCACTCCAGCAGGCGAACATCTCACTCAGGTTCGTTCTTGGCTCTCACTAGCCCAGTGTGCAAACGAGCCTGCCCCTTTCTCTATTTCCTCTGTTTCTTGCAAAATCCCTTCCCTCACTCTTTTCCACCCTCCTCATTGCGGTCCTGTGCACCTAAGTCCACTTCATGCTGAACCCTACTGCAGGGACGTGCCCTGACTGTCTCACAGTTATAGCCCGAGACCTAGCAGCTTAGCTTCAGGTTCGAGTGATATTTAAACCTTGTCAAGCATTTTCCCACAGAAGCCCCGAACCCGTCTCTTCCAGCCTCTCAGTCTTAGAGCTAAACTTTTTATATTTCTTCTGGCCACTCCATTTCATTTTCAAATGTTGGGTCTCCCTGTTTCTTTTCTGTTTGGGCCCCGGATATATTCCTATAAGCTTTTGGTTAAAGCCCGTTCTGTTTTCACAGCTCCTCACCAACAAGTAGGTGCTCACCCCTCCGGCATTGCTCTCAGCACCCTACCTTCCCTGTTTCCGAGGCGTCTTTCCAAGACTCCCAGCCTCTGCAAGCCAAGGTATTGATTGTGACCGCCCCGAGGGCTACCTGGTTGTCTTTCCAACACAGGTTTGCTCCCCATCTTCGGCTTTGAGCACCTCTGTCATCTGGCCTCACTCCCAAGGTTCTTGCTCAGAGAGGTCAGGTCAGTGAAACATCTCTTATTCACTGTAAACATAGTCTCCAAAGCAGCTTCTCTCACAACATTAAATTCTAGGCGATACCAAACTTAAGAGAGGCTCTATTTCAAAGGTTCATTTGTAAGAGGCGTGTCTAATCTCACTCACATCTCCCCCTTGCTGGAATGTTCTTCATGGTGCTGTGTCTTGCCCGGCCAGCCCAGGAGAGCCCATGGAACTTGTAGGTTAAGTGAAGCAGCGGCCACAGAATCTTCGGGAGTAATAATAGCGATACAGAACACAGTCGCCGTGTGGGGCAGCGTTTCTATGGGGAACGCTCTTCAGAGTTCCGCCTGGGACTGCTGCGGCTCTGGAAGTGTCAGCAGGTAGAATGAGCACGCCCCCACCTCCATAGTAAAAGGAAAAAAAAACCACACTACAATTTATTAAGGAATTCCTAGGCACCAGGCAGTGTACACTGATGAGGGGAGTTATATTGCTTCATCCTCACATCAACCTGTGCTTGGAGCAGTGTGGGCACTGCTGCTACCCAGCTTTGGCAGGTGAGCGAATGCAGCCCCTAGAACGGACTCAGTGACTTTGGACAGAGGTTCTGATAAAGTCTGGTGAGTGCTAGGAAAGGAGCGGGAATTCCAGAAGATGGATTGGGTGAGAAGGGAATCCCAGGGGGCAGCAGATGGAA